ATTGTATAATAAAAATCATATTTTATTATAATATATGTTACTCTCTTTTGTTTTATAGAAAATTAATTAAACACTGATCCAATCTATTTAAAATTATACAATTATTTTTATTTAAACTACAAATACATATATTGTATCTTATAAGAATTGTTATAACGAAAAAATAAAATAACTAAACAACAAATTGATAGATATTGCCTTTCATTTAATTTATGTTTTATCAAATAAAATTACAATATTCCATTAATCATATTATATTTAATATATCGAATAATAAACGAACTAATATTAAATATTAAAGAAATAAAAATATATAAGAAATAAATTTTCTAAACAAATATACATACATATAAAACGATATTATTAAAACAACAAAATATAATTAATTACTATAAAATAATGAGAATAAAAATAAATTGATTACAAATATACATTGATAACCATAAATATACCACTAACAAATAAATAATAATCTAACGCGATATGTTTAAACCAATCGTTAAAATTTCAAATGAACAAGAACGTCTTCGTGTTATCATCCTATAGCAAACACTTAGGATCTTTCTTATGATCATCCTAACAGCAAAAGAAAATCTAAAAGATGTTAGGTGCACCTTCGTCGTCGTCGTCTGTCCTTCCAATGGTTTTGTCGATAATCTCAGATATCCCTTCGATTTCGAAGATGAATTACGTTGAAATCGTTCAGGGCTAAAGAAGCAGAATAAAAAAACGAAGAAAAAGAAAAAGAAAGAAAGAAAGAAAGAAGCATCACGGGGTTTGAACGGAAGGAAGGAAGGAAATCGAGCATCGAACTTTCGAGCGTCGATTTTCTTCGTGATTTTCTTCTTTGAAAACCTTTTCCTCGTACAACGTACCCCTCCGAACGTTACCCACCCTTCTTCGTCATCCCTATCATCACCCAAACCCCCCCTATCACTTCCCCCTTTACCACCCACGCAATCTTCGTCTTGGGAATCTCGGTGAAGGTGAAAGGAGAAGGAAAAGGGATGGGATTGAGGATTGGTTTGGGTTGGGGTTTGGTGGGTGGTTGGGTGGTTAAATTGGGGGGGGGAGGTTAGAAGGAGAAGGAAAAGGAAGAAAAGGAATAGAACACCTTAGGAAAAAGTGTGACGGGTGGGTGGGGGTTAGGGGTGGTAGGGGGGAGGAAAGATGCTCGTTGGTTTTCGCACTGCAGGGGTTACAAGATTGATTGCATCGAATCTCGCGTACGGTCGACGGAAGAACCCTTAAGATCTCGTGTACCACTTTAGGGAATACAACGTTTCCTTCCTACCATGCTTCCTTGGTTGGTTGGTTGGTTGGTTGCTTGGTTTGTTGCAACGTGTCTCAAAAGATTTTTCCACCTTGAACTACGGTGAAAACGACTACCGTTCGGAACTAACACACCTGCCCTTTTTTATATTTTTTATTTTTTTATTACATGCTAAAGGGCCTCTCTCTCCCCCCCCCCCTTCTCTCCCTCTCCGACCATTTACATTCTTTCTTGCAAGCTTCGCAGATTTTTCTAACGATCTTGAAAATTCTTCCCATCGTGTTGACCATTTTTTTGTTCTTTTTTGATTTGTTCATTTCGTAAAGATCATCATCATTATCATTGTTTTATAGGATATGATATTTGAAAATATTTATTATGATTTGATAACAATTATACGATAATTTGTGCTGACAAAATGGTTGTAAGTGTTATAATGAAAATGCACTAGTTTGTTTTTTTTTTTTCTTTTAAGGGTTTAAATTTACTTCAACCTTTTGTTTTTTCTATTATAATAATGTTGTAACTGTGTGTGTGTGTGATTTTGATGAGAGAGAAAGATACTGCGAATATAATATATTAATTTGTTTTTTGAAATGAAATACTTACCTCAAGGTTTATACCGGGTTGAGAAAATGTTTGTATTTTGGGATAATTAGCTGGTACGAATCGGAAAAATTCGTGATCATCTTTATACCATTTGACAGCGTAAAGACCAGTTTCACCCATGAGTCGCCATTCGCATCTTAATTCGATCGCAGTACCTTCGACAGCTTCTCTCGGCATTTTTATTTCTACTCTTACGTCGCCATCTGTAACAAATTACACAAATAACAACCAAATTTTCATTTTATCATTGAATATAATAATAAATTTGAGAAAAATTATTAAAGATTAATAATATAATCGATAGATTAATATATACAATAGTTGAAACCTTTATAATTGGTAATTCATAATTGAATATATAAAATGTCAATGTATAATAATAATAATTATATACACGTACGTAATTATTTTATCGTATCGTTGTTCCCATTCGTTTAAACTATAAAAATTATTTTTCGTATTACCGAGAAAAAGAAAAAAAAAAATATCCAAACAAAATAAACTTTATTCACCCCTACCGTTAGAATTAAAACAATTTTTTTACCGTAAACATGATTTTCAAGTTATACGAATATTATAATAAATTTTTGCAGGAAAGGGCCGTGATTCTTCGAAGTACACTTCTTCTTCTTCTTCTCTCTCTCTCTCTCTCTCTCTCTCTCTCTCTCTCTCTGTTTCTCTCTTTCTCTTTCATAGGACACTTTAATCTCCGAGGACTACATCGTATCCTCCCGTAATACGAGGAACCCCTCTTCGGTTATAATTTCGGGTGAGTGTGCAAACACAAGCCTGACTTACGCAACTTAATCTCGACTCTGTAATTTCAACCTAGGAAAGTGTACGTAGGTAAGTATATACGTTCATAAAGTACCGTACGGTACGATACGGTACCGTATGGGAAGGTAGGATACGTTAGTATGTTAGTTCGTATGTTAGTTTGTATGTTCCGTGCTCATCACAGTTGCCACTTGCCATTCCAATTTCGTTAATTCCAATCCACCATATTAAAATGTTATTATACGAAAGAATATATGTATATATATCTCGTCATTATTATTATTTTTTTTATCTTTTATTTAATTATTTAAATTTTCTCTTTGAGAGACGCGTATTTTAATATCATTCATTTCATTTGAATTTAATTATAAATAAAGATACTTTAGATACTTATAATAAGTATCTTATATATAATGATCAATTGCAATTATGTAATAATATTTATTATCATTTATTTTTTTATTATTATATTATTATATTTGTCATAATATATATTTTTTTCCATCAAATGATTCGTATTATTTTTTAATCGATAAACAAACTATTATGATATTATATATTATATATCAATTGTGATTAATTTAAAATATATCAAAATATTATTTTAAGAAACTTTTTATATAATATATATATTTTCATTGAATTTTATTCAAAAAATATATATATTATATATGTGAAAATAATAATATTTTCCATAGTTAAGATCTATGTTAATGATGTGTATGTAATAGTATGAGAATCTAATTTGAGGAATGTCAAATTAACTGAGGAACTATTCCTAGTTACACTCTCTCTCTCTCTCTCTCTCTCTCTCTCTCTCTCTCTCTCACTCTAACTCTAACTCTATACGAGGATGAGGAAATTGTATAGGTGCTGACATGAAGTGCACACACTCGTACTTGCTTGACCGTGTCGTCGTCGTAGGTCCATCAAGTAGTATATAGGTAAACTAGCACAGTTGGATTAGCTCTTTGGCTTAGGATCATCCAAATTACAAACGTTTGATGTCTCATTCATAGTCATGCATCGTCGTATATGACGATTAAATCATTTGCTCAAGTGTATTATACGATACTATTGTAATAAATTACGTTTGTATAATCGTGAATACCATAAAAGAACAATATTTTGACGTTTAATTATATTTCTTGATAAAATGATTCATCTTTAAACATTCTCATTTCTTTTTTTTTTGTTTTTTTTTGAAAAAAAAGAAAAATAATCACATTTAATATACGATAAGTGTATTTATTATGCATTTATTAAAAGTGCATCGAGTTATTGTCATTGTGTATATTATTGATGTTTCTCATTAGAATTGTATATGATAGAAAATATTTTGTTAATTACAAAAGATTATTATTGTTTGTCGAGTGTTTGTTGTTGGTATTTTTTTTTTTTTTTAATGTAGACTACAGATGACTCGAGCTCGTGAATTAAATATAATTCATTTATTTATAAATTAAATTTTTAAGTAATTGATTAGAAATATTTTGTACGTTGCATAATGTTTTGGGATTAGTTTAAAAATTAGTATTAGTATAGATGTATATAATAGAAGTATTTACGTATGAGTTAACAATGTTACATATGCAACGAATAGAATAATGATTCATGTATCAATAAATTAGGTTGCGTGTTTGCTTGTAAATATATTTTGGAATTAGTTGAAAAATAGGTATTAGTATATAAACGTATGTTACACGTATATACACACACGTGCAAAAATGTATATTACATGAAATGGATAATAGAATAAATCATGCTTCAACGAGTCAGTAGATGTATATTATATTGTTAATACGTTTCGCTATTAATTATACAAAATATCCAATTACAGAATATTGTTACGAACATTATAGAAGTGAACGTGAATATATAATTTTCTTTGGTTACACGATTACGTCATCATTTGATCTGTTATTTGTTGCAGCATATATTATACTCAATCAGAGATTAATATTCTTATTTTTTTTCTTAACAAAATTTTTCCCCATGGTAATAATATCGGATTAGATTTATTAAAATACAATTAGAAAAAATTTAAATAATTTATTATTTAATTTCGATAATAAAAGAAAAAGATAATAATGTTGAAATTATTATATATAAATAAAAATGTATGCTAAATTTAGTAAGAAGAAAAAATGTAATAATTATTAATATATAAAATAATAAACGATATACCGTTTATTAAATTATTACTTTGATATTTCATTATGAAATAAATAATAGAATTAAATATACTTGGATTATATTACTTGAATGTATAAAAATAAAATATCCAGTATATTGGCATGACGTTTTATGAAATTAGCCTAACCACAAAGTCAGACACAGCTGTTTCCTGATATCCACGTTGAACGTTTACGTTTTCCAATTTCTCTCTTTCTCTTTTGAATTTTCCTTTCATCGTTTTTCTTTATCCCATCCGTTTACTGACATACTTCCTCCTACTCCTTTATACATACACACACACACATACACATACTTCAAACGATTTTCTCTTTATCCTTGTTGCAATTTCCGTAGTTATGGGGGAATTCTCGTCGTTACTTTGCCAATCGGTGTTTGACGTTTCAAAACCATACTTCTATTTCTCTCTATTCGCGTAATCGTTTAATTTCTCATGTACAATCTGACATATCGGAGGGAAAGCTATTTAATCTTAGACATAAATATTCTTCTATTCGTTTAATCGATGCTTTGTATTTTCGATCATGCCACGATTATCTTAACTTATATAGATATATAGATGATTATTTATATATCATATTGATATAAAAAAAAAAATCATGTATATTAAATATTTTATTATATTTTAGTATATATATATATATAGTATATATTAGTATATTTAGTATATATTAATTATATAGAATAGTTTTTATATTTTATCTATTACTTTGACAGTCAAAATTTTACAAATTTATGTATGAATGATAGTAATAATACAACTAATCAAATTAAAGCATGATATTGTTGAAGTAATCGTGTTTTTTCTCTAGAAAAAAGAAACCTTGATTGTAAGTATTGTTAGAAATAATAATAATAATAATAATAATAATAATAATCGCGAGATAGATTTAAACCAATGAAAATTAGGTACAATTTGTAAGAAAAAATAAGCCTAAGTAGTTCGTTAGATAATTCAAATTAGAAAAAAAGAAAACAAAAAACTCAACCAATCAACCAACCAAACTACCGACCAATTCCGAATTTAATTTTAAATCTTGTATCGTTCATTTTATTCCCAATAATACTTGATTATGTTGAATCGTGTCATCGTGAAAATCAAGTTGTTTTTTTTTTTTTTTAGAAACGCTGCAAGTGATGAAAAGATAGTAAAACTACCTGTAAGGTTGTCAACTTTTACAACACATCCTCTCGAATTTGTCTATCATTTTTTTTTATCCTTTAATCCTCATTATTTCGCAAGAAAATTGGAAAAGTTAGGAGGGTGCAGGGGACAAAAAGTAGACATGTTCACACATATATATATATATATATATATGCACGTATATATATGTTATTTTATTTATCAGTTGACGTTTACGATAAAATTTTCATACTTTGTAAAATAATAAAAAAATAAAATATACTCCCTGCCCCCGTCCCCCTCCTGTCTACGAGACAAATACGTAATTGATTTTATTGAAGGATAAAATTATTAATAGAGAGAGGGAACTAACCCATTCCTCATTTATATCATACATAGATATGATCGCGTGATTCGTTAAATTGTAATATTCGTATAATCAGAGATTCGTTCGATCGTGATTAATAATCTGAATTGCAGATGATAATATATAAGAAATATTAAAAATAATATCATATATATCGTGGTCAATAATAATTCAAAAGGGTTTTCGTTAAATCCCTTTTCGCGATAAGGGGGGGTGGGTGAGTGGGAGGTATTTCTATATCGAACAATGATATATTATAATATAACTTCGTATAATTGGCACACAGCTCACACATACAAATCACATTATATACAGACATACTGTATTCACATATATAGTAGTGATGGTGGTGGTGGTGGTGGTGGTAATGGTGGTATTAATAAACGCATACACATTGTCGTCGTCATCGTAGATTTCAACCAACTTGATCCTCTTGATTGCCGATCGTTCATTCGTTCGTTCGTTCATTTTTTTTCTTTTTCTTTTTTGTCGATTGGCTTTCTAAAAAAATACCGATCGAAGCAAGCTAAGATTCGTACAAACACGTTCTTTATACCAATCGGAAAACGACTTGCTCGTTTGGAATCTCATTACCGTGAAAGCTTGATTGCTTTCTTCGTGGGGAAAAAAAAGTGGTACGTTTTCAAAGACCACTAATGCCGTGTTGGCATTACAATGAGAATAAGAGAGAGAGAGAGAGAGAGAGAGATAGAGAGAGTGAGTGAGTGGTCGTCGTTGAT